TGAAAACAGTTTTTTGTTGTCGCGGATTAGTATTTGAAGTCGCGGATTTCTTTTGAGAAATCGCGGATTTCGCGGATCATATTTAGAAAATTTTGTAACAGCCCTGCATTTGTTCACGATCTGTTTGCGCTTTTCCGTAGAAATGTTACTCATTGTCACGGAAATGTAGTAAATAACCGACACTTGCGATACACGAAACTGTTAGTCGAAATGTAAACCATGATTCAGCGTGATAATCAGCTGTTTAAACGTCATCTGAAACAAGCAGGAGTGTTCCAAAGTCGTGCTTAGACATTCTGGGACACCCTATATAGTCCTTATAAATCTAACTCCATCCCTTGGAATTCTACTCACAGTGAAAGTCTACTAAGAATTCATTTGCATTTATCCTCACAAATTCCTTAGATTTCTCCTCATAATTTGTTTGGAAAACTCTACAGAATTTTTTTTTTTTCGAATTCCTTTGAGATCTCCTGGAGTTATTCTCCGATTTGATTGTAAGCATCCCCCTTACCCCGTAAGTATTCGTCAAAAAATTCCAAGGACTTATGCTTCGGCCGGATTAGTTTTCTCCCACAAACTTCATGAAATTATCCTCATAATGCCCTTGTATTCTGAGATAAGTTCCAAATAAATGATATAGTTAATTCATGTTCGAAATTAGGAGTTTTTGATTGATCAAAATTTGAAGGGCTTGGACAAAAAACAAAGTTCGAAACTAAAATTAAAAAAAAAATCTTCAATGCCATCGAAGATTGCAAAAAATTACAAAAAATCACTCATCCGATGTTTAGGAACTGTTAAGAATTTCCACTGGAATCATTTAAAAAAATCTTGGACGATCTTAGACTTGACAACTTTCCGAACCTCTGGGACATTGCCATTTATTTTAAATCCCAGACTTCATTTTTGGTATTTCAACTTAGGAAATGTTCAGCATTCCGAGTGAAATATTCTAGCTATCAAACTTAGAATGTTTATATAACAGAATTTAATTTAAATTGCTATTGAAAATATATATTTAAGACTATCAAAATGTTAGTCCTTAATCCAACACCAAATACAACAGTTCTGGTCTAAATGGTTATCTTCAATTTAATTCCCCTTAATTAATTTTGGTATCCATGACAGATACGTATTTCGACTACAATGTGCAGTCTTCATCAGTGTCATTCCCAATGTGGGGGGAGGGGGTAATACGTACGTACTATTCGGTTTCCTTAAATTACGCTTGGTTTTTATCGCTCCAAACAAGGCTGCACCTTCATATATCAGTATCAACGTAAATACACTAGCCAGGAGCCGTCCCGAGATGTTCGGTATGATTTTGGCTACCGCGTTGATGGCCTTCACTGCCTTCTCATAGGCGTATTCTACGTGGCTATTGAAGCCAAACGGTCGTCGACCATCACTCCCAGGCATTTCAACAGGCACTTCTAGTTTATTGCGTGCTCCCCAACAGTAATTTCTGACCACTGCAGCGCTTTAAAGTTACTGATCAATACCACCTCGCTTTTGTTGGTGACTATCTACAGCTTCGCTCCATGCATTTGTGCCTCGGTCGCCAGCATTTCCATCTATTCCAGCGTCTTGCCTGTTAGCGTAAGATGACGTCGTCCGCAAAGCCAACGATCTCAACTCGTTTGGGTAGCTTCAGCGTTAGGCCGCCATTTTAAATCACGTTCCAGAGTGTTGGAACAAGAATGGAGCCTTGTGGAATTTCAACCGTGATCCTAGTCGATCTCTGTCCCATATTTGGCTCGTGCATCAGAACCCGGTTCTGGAAGTAGCGTCGGCTCCCAGTTGGAGTTGTTGAACGCATTCTTGACGTCGATCGTTATCACAGCGTAATATCGATCTCCTCTCCACTTATGTTTCGACGATGACTTTTAGGTTCTCTAATCACATTTCAGCGGGTATGACTTGACATCTGATCTTCGTCATCACGACACGGTGTGCGTCATTGGCAGCAGCGGCTCGACCCAGCTCCAGTTGACAGTTTGGCTTGCTCTGCTTTAACTCTCGTTTAGGTGCTCGGAACATTCCTCTAAGTTCCTCTCTGTCTGCTTCTGTTCTTGCTCTCTGAACACGTCTTCTGGCTCTAAGATAACTAGCGCGGAGGGTGCTAATTACCTCGTTGCAGCAGTAAGCTGGAGGTTCCACTTCAGGTCGCATGTTCTCGTCCTCTTTACTGCCACAGGATTCCGTTGGCCGATGCTATATCGGATTGCCTGATGGTCACTATGGGTATATCTCCAATTTATGTTTTCCACCAGCGACGGACTGCAGTCCGCATAAAGTGACGTCGATAATGGATTCCCGACCATCTCTGCGAAAAGTGCTGGTGGTGCCTTTAGGGCCCATGTATTTATTATGTCACGCTAAATCGAGCAAAAAACTACCCCCCCCCCCCCTATCGTGACGTTTTTCCTATACCTAATGTATTGCTTGTCACAAAATCTTAGACCCCCCCCCCTCCCCCTTAGAGCGTAACATAATATATGCATCAACCCTTATTGAACAGCCTAATTTCCAGCTTCACCAGAGCTTCCAGCAGAATTTGTCCTCTTACGTTGGTACATCTGTTTCCCCACTACACTGCCTAAGCATTGAAGTCTCCTCCGTCCGATCAGCTCTTCGGTAAGTCCAACCAGCGTCTCGTGGAATTGCTCCATCGTCCATCGGGTGCGTAGAAACTGCATATGAATATTCCGTTAATTTTGGCCATCACGAAACCTTCTTCTTGAATGGCGTATCTGCCCATAACTTGTATTGCAGCCATCCCAGCTCTATCCGCCACCTAGTTACCTTTATCGGGAGGGACTCGATACAGCTGTGCAGTGTCCCAATAATTAAGGTTTATTTGAGTTACCTCTGTTATTGTTGCGACAAAACAATTAAGCGTAATTTGGAGCGAAATGCTTGAGAGTGACAAAATCGGGAAGGCACTGTATTTTCATAAAAAAAAATCCTGAGGATTCCTGGTTTTTTAGATTGCACCCTGGTGAATACCGTAAAGGCCCACGCACATTAGATCCGGATCGGACACGTTGCGGTCAAATGACAGATAAATCTATTATCTAACTGTCAAATTAACGTCAACGCAACGCAAACGGATGTAATGTGGGTGACCCTTTAGTTTGATTTTAATCTTTCCATTGAATCTTTCGCTTTAAAGATCATATCGTACATTAGAGTTTATGAGATACTAATTGAATAAGTCTGAATCATCAAACATTTATTTGGTGTGCCATCAGAACGACTACTTTTCTTGTCTTAGGTCACTTTTTTTACAACTATAAGTCACTAGGTCACTTATTTCTTTAACATGGTAATTAAAATCACTATTTTTGGTAGCTTTGATCTAACCCTAGTCGAGCTTGCACTACCTATCGCTATGTCGATATAGATGAATTTCATGAGTACACGTTGTTCGCTTCAAACGTTTTCCTACACTGAGGCAAAGGAACGTTAGAATTCCATAAAAACCACTTATATGACATTTCGACAAAAGGATTTCTTATGGAAATCATAATTTTAGCATATACAACAGAATTCATAATTAGATTATGAGACATAAAAAAAGTAATATAAAATGTAGCAGACCGGAATCGAATCCTGAGCGGTCAGATTATTGACACCGTGATTAGTTCCCACGTTTATCAACGCTTGGGAAATAAAATAGGTTAAGAGTGTATAATGTATTACGATAATCATTCATAAGTCGTGCTTACGAAATGCATAACTCATGCCTGTGGAATTCACAAGTATCTTATGAAAACAAAATTGTCCAGGTTCATAAGGCATGTCTTATGGAGTTCTTAGGATTTGTTGTCACAGTGTATTGTTTTATAGTTCTGTGACTCGATAGTCCCTTCAATGTCGAGTTGCCTGTAGTTTGCTTGAATACTTTTGACATCACCGATTATATAACTCCAATCAACATTGTGCACCCTTAAACCATCAACACATTTGATGAATTAATTTCATTAAACCCAACCAAGCTGGAGACAAATTAGGCGTCCCGAGTCTGAAAAGGCCGTTTTTTTTATTTTCAACAAACATGTCACATAACTTATGAGCCAACCGGATTTCGTGCCAACAGTTCCTCAAACTTTGTATTTTCGCATCATACAACAGAAATTGAAAAGTCGCTCTTCTTCATCCAAGCCAAACAACCATACACACATCATTAATCATTAATTTGATTCAAGCCGAACTCAATCCAATTGTCGGCTGGCTAGTGCTGTATTTATTTAAATTGAGTTCGAGGTGCTAATGTGAAGGAAAATTTCACCAAGGGACCATCCACAGATGACGTAGCATTTGAGAGGGAGAGGGGTTTCAGAAATTGTAACCGGCCATGTATCGCAATAGGTATAGCAAAATACACTACGAAGGGGGAGGGAGGGTCTAAAATTGTCAAAAATATGCTACGTCATTTATGGGTGTTTCCCAACTTGCAAATCGTTTCCTGATGCAAATAAAATCGATCTACTGATTATAGACTCACATTTTTGTTTACACCGATTGTCCTCGATGATGGAAATGAGAAAAGTCTGATTGATTACACGTCTAGTCGGTTGAAGGATGCCCGCAGACGAAAGGTCCACCACGTCCAGTTGGTTTGATTTCGCTAAAAATACGTTCATGTGCCTATATCTATCTGGATAACAAATTTACACTCTTCACGTTCCTGCTTTTCCAATCCGTCGTTCTATAGTATTAAGAGGTACCATCTGGCCTGATGGTGGATACAAGCAATGTGCTCAACCGTTCCCACGAGTAGTTCAATACATCAGACGTCGTATTTCAAATTGAATTGGTGATACATTGGCAGCTGATTGCCCTATAATTGATATTTCTGATCAAGTTAATGTTCTTTATCGGTCTAATGGTCACGATGGATTAACAAACGTACTCAAATTGATACAGAAGCGTGCATCGGAGCACGGTGTTGGCAATTGAACTGATGTTTAAATTTTTCTCTTTTTTTCCAGGATGGTTGACAACGAGATCCTGAATATCATTCGCCAGCGTTTTGAGGATTGTGTCATGTATGAGCAACCGGATCATGAGCGCAAGTGCAAACCGTTCTTGGAACGTTACGAGAAAGCTGCCGAAAACTGGTTCATCAAGTGTAAGATGATAGTGACATTTATTTATTGATTGTAATTAGAGTGATAATTTTGCTTTTACCTGTACTAGATGGTGATCTTGGAGGTTATGCCAACGCCAAGACCGCCTACATGAAGCAGAAGCACCGTATGGTGTGGGAAAGACGCCACGGTCCAGTCGGCTCGGGAATGAAGCAATCGGATGATGCTGACACAGAACACTAATTAACTTTTGGTCAGCTGCTACTAAAGAGCCGCATCGAAGTAGTTGGAAATTTGGTTATTTCTTATGAAATTGTGTAAATATAAGAACAACTAAAGTTGGGATGCCTGAACGGTAGATACTGAAAGAAAAGCTCCTTTTTTCCTTGAACTACCTTGAGCTGTCCATATGCCAAATATCTGTCCGCAGGGGGATAGACTGCCCATAAAAGCATAATTGTCCCATCGTTGCTTGATTTGCGTAGAGGTTTTGTGAGTGCCCACGGTCCTTAGGGTATGGTGGGGCAAGATGGGTCATCTACTTGATTTATTTACTTTTTTGATTATCAACATCAACTGGCTTAATGTAGCCCCAATGCTGGTTTTGAAAAAGCAAACCATCATTGGCGTCGCATTAAACATTTTGATTTTGACAACCAAATAAATTAATAAATGTACTAGCTGACCCATCTTGCCCGTGACGCACCTTGCCCCACTTTACCCTTTTTTCAATGTATATTGTCCATGCAGCAGGAGGAGGGAGGGGGTATCTAAAATCTGTCCACGTGGTTTGTAGATGACCCCTTAGTGATTCCATGCGAACCTTCATAGTCGTTACGGCACCCATAAATCTTCAATTTGGCTGATTTTTCGAATCAACGCTTATTCATCTAAAAATAAATCCTAGCTTCAAAAACAGTTTTGATATCTGATTAATCTTGTAATTATTTGATGTAAATATACTAGGGTCTTTCATATTTTAAAAATCTTCTAAAATCCTATCTTCATCTTTTTTTTTAACTCTTCATTTGTTCCTAATTCAAAATAAATTACATTTCATTTTAACCTAGGTACTCCAGTTACTACAGTAACTTGCCAGCCTTAATTGTTATGATATATATCTAAGTGTTGCTTTTGTTCCTGGCTTGGCAATTAAGTATTTGAAACAGGTTTTCGTAACCTGCATGTCAGTATGACAATTGACATTTTAAAACTGAAAACTAAACTGCCGTTATACGCATAACTGTCCCATGTTTTATGCAATCCTTATGCACCGTGGGACTCTTATGCGTATAACGGAAGTATAAAGCTTATGTAAGTATAAAGGGAATTGATCGTTGCAATTGAGGATTGCAACGATTTTTGCCTGAAATTATTAATTATTTTGTTGGACATTTGTTCTAAAGTCTCAACATTCGAAATTCTAGTACCTCGATAGTACTGTACCAGGGAGGCTACTTCAAAATCATCTTCAGAACTTGGTTCTGAATCCTTTGAAGTGCTTTTTTCCTGGTAGTGCAGCAACTAGACCATATTGGCACAGCATAAAGCATGGCCGGTCTAAAAACTTGTTTTAATATTAGGAGTTTATTCTTGAGGTAAAGTTTGGATTCCCTGTTTATAAGAAACAAACATTTTATATATATGTTACATTTGGCTTGAATGTCCTCAATTTGATCTTTAAAGGTTAATTTTTGGTCAAGTACTAATCCAAGATATTTCACTTGGTTTGACCAGGAAATATGAACTCCTTTCATAGTGACTACTACTAGGTTTCAAAAACGAAGCTCTAGGCTTATGTGGAAACATTATAAGTTGAGTTTTGGAAGCATTGGGAGAAATCTTCCATTTTTGTAAATATGAAGAGAAAGTATCTAGACTTTTCTGCAGTCTGCTGCAAATAACACGAAGACTTCTTCCTTTAGAAGAAATACCTGTATCATCGGCGAACAAAGATTTGTGGCAACCCTGAGGTAAATCAGGGAGGTCCGAACTGAAAATGTTATACAATATAGGCCCAAGAATACTACCCTGAGGAACTCTTGCTCTAACAGGTAGTCGATTAGATTTGGAATTTTGATAATTTACCTGCAGAGTTCTGACAGTTGAATAATTTTGAACTAATTTCATAATATACAGTGGAAAATTAAACTTTTTTCAATTTAGCAATCAATCCTTCATGCCAAACACTGTCGAATTCTTTTTCTATGTCTAGAAGAGCAACTCCAGTTGAGCAGTTTTCAGTTGAATGCTGAATGTTGAATGCCCATGGCGAAATCCGAACAGTTCATCTGCAAACAGTGAGTTCGTATTGATGTGAATCATCATCCAATTTAAAATTATCTTTTCAAAAAGTTTACTTATTGAAGAAAGCAAACTTATTGGGCGGCAGTTAGAAGCTTCAGCTGGATTTTTTATTCGGCTTCAAAATTGGAACAATTTTAGCATTTTTCCATTTATCAGGAAAGTATGCCAAATGGAAACATCTGTTAAATATAAAGAGAGAGAAGGATTAGTAATTTCTATTAAATTCCACTACCTTATTTGCTTATCCTTGACAGATACGCGTATTTCGTCCACAATGTGCAGACTTCTTCAGTGTCTTTACTAAAACTCGACTGAAGAAAACATCGCAATTTACCGAATATCTAATAACCCTGGTACATGTTCACTTTGAAGCTAGGTAAACTTAAATTAAATTTCCTGTAGGGGCAGGTACTCCGCTGCTATGAACAATAATGGCTACGCCACTACAGGCTCCATCAACCAGAGTGGCCAGATTATTTTTTTCATTATCGGTAGCTTCTCAAAACTTTTATCGGTAGTTATTGGTAGGTCGACTCAGTGGCGTCTCGTCCGCCTGTTCAACCGGTTCATAGGACAGGTTGATCAAAATTTTAAACACATTATATTACTTTTGTCTGTCAATACAATTTGATACTAAACAATAAAGGATAAATACCATAAATTATCAAATTATCAATTGAAAATCAAAATACACACTCTATCTATATTTTGTAGTAAAACATAAACGCATCAGTAATAACAATCCATTAATGTTATTTCCAAGACGTTATTGCAATCGATTACAGCGAACCACGATACACGTTGGTTCACGGTTTCTGCTGAACAAAACGTCAAACATATTTTCCGAATTGAAATCATGGTTACTAACTTTTAACACGAATAGCCTCTCTCTTGTTGCAGTTAAACAAACACTGAGTTCGATGACATTTATTGTTGCGTGCAGCGCGTAATTGAAAGTAAAGAATTTCGCGCTTTACGCGACGCTAAACCCGATGCTATACCGTCGACCTGACAGCTGAGTAGACAGAGAACATCAGTTTCAAAGCGTCCTGCTCACGCAGTTTGATGCGGTGATGTGTGTGGTCTCGATGAGGTTCAAGTTTTCTGCTGAACAAAAGTGATGGAAATGTCTAAACGCAAACACAACCACGTCTTCGTGTTGAATGAATTTGTTCGTTTGTTTCGTTTTCCTCTCCGTTCGTGCTTCCGCGAGGATTACCGAGGTAAAGCAATCACTCACACAACCACTGTACGATACACGCAAGCAGTGACGTCACTATTTGCGTTTGCGTTGATTTTTGGTTTACTGATACAAACACATTTCACTGTATGAGCTACCTCTCTCTGTACTCATTGTTTCCCGCCTTCACGCTCCATGACTATAAAATTCATTGACTGTGGTCGACGTGGTAAGTAAATTTACATAGTGCAGAATTTAATACAACGTAATAAACTGCTTTTGAATGAATCTTTCAGATGGAGGATAAAGCTGAAAATTGCATAATCGAGCAAATCCTAAAATGTCCTTTTTCCGCCCGTACAATAGAGGACAAAATGGCACTTGTGAAAAGTCCGGTTCCTCGCCCACCTATGGAGCAATTGAAATCTACGTACAAATTGAAAGGAAAAATAATGTCACGTAACTTTAATATGTCATCATATGATCAACAATGGCTTTGTGGTTCCACGAAATTGAACAAACTCTATTGCTGGCCATGTTTGTTGTTCCGAAGCCCCAATGAAAAAAGTGTATGGTCCAAGGAAGGATATAGTGATCTGAACTAGAGTCGGTGTATAATGAGTCACGCCAAGAGAAAAACAGTCGAACTCGCATCACGGTTTTTGGATGATTCCCATTATTTTCACTTGGCAACAGAGCACTTCTACAACAACTTCAAATGACTTCTAGCTAGAGAAAAAATATTGCGGCTGTAGTAAATCATTATATAAGTGATTTTGTCAAATTATCTTAACAAAAAATAGTAGAAATTCTCATTACTAATCATTACCGAGCGTATCCCATGACAATTTAACGCTCACTGCGTGTTTATGCTCATTTCTTCGATTATATTTTATATTTTATTGCAATACCTTTCGTGGACCTTTCATAACATCGTAATGTTTATTTACTTTGCACGATAGGTAGCCGGTTTGACAGTTCAATAGGTAGACTTGGCTTCACTCTTGGCGTGACTCATTATACACCGACTCTAATCTGAACCACCTTTCGGCATCTACAGAAACGCATTCAAGTTCGAAGGATCACATAAATAATTCATTTGCATTGACAACATTCGGACAGCTACAAATTGATGAATCGCTAGACCACAGCCGGCAAGTTGCCAGAAACAAACACAATGCAGAGGTGACTAAAAATAGGAACGGGATGACAAATCTGATTGAAGTCACTTGTTTCCTTGGGACACATGGACTTGCCTTCCGTGGCCATAACGAGAAATCGGACTCTACCAATAGAGGAAACTATGAGGACTTTTGGATCGTGGTTGCCACCAAGGACCCCGCGTTTCAAGAGTTTATTGAAAAGAAGGTGTTTAGTGGAACGTCCGGAGGTATCCAGAACGAGTTGATTGAATGTGTTGGAGAGTACATGTTGCAGATCATCAAAGGAGAAGTTAACGAAGCAGAGTTCGTCTCCATATTGTTGGATGAATCGACGGATTCGGCACGCTTATCACAACTGTCATGTACTCTACGTTACGTTAAACCCGATGGTAACAACTTAACAAATGAATATGATTTCGAAAATCTGATTCATATTTTACAATTTTAGGAACACCAGTTGAAAGGCTTGTTCGTTTGGTAAATGTAAGTAGTGACAAAACCGCCGTTGCGTTGGCTGCACAAGTAGAAGAAATTGCAGCAATCTTTGGTTTGAATGCTGACAAGTTAGTAGCGCAAACTTATGACGGTGCTGCTGTAATGTCGGGAGAACCATCCGGTGTTCAAACATTGGTGAAGCAACGCTTTCCAAAAGCTGGATTTATTCATTGTCGCGCACATGTGCTGAACT